TTCACAATAGACATACTTGTATGAGTATGCTTCTTATACGTCAAAAAGTATACGTAGCTTTTGTTGTTTGGTACTGATTGCACCAAACAACAAAATTGTATATGGATTGTACTACCTTTTTTTTCGATTTTGCAACTAATTCTAACAAATATCTCGAATTAAGAATATTTCTAAAAAAATTTTTTGGTTGGATGTAAAAGTTTAGTGATGTATGTTTTTAATGCTTTAAAATATGTGACGATTATTCATTTCGACTCTGAAAGATTTACGAGTTACGTGAACAGCTGGGGTAGGTATTTGTTTATTTCAGTGACATTTTGCAAAAAAACAGAGTGAAGTATGTACCATATTAATTCGAAAGATTTAACATAAAAGCAATCTCATGTTGTTACTTCAACGTTATTGGCGAAACGACATCTTAGATTCACTTAAGCTTGGAAAGTAAAGATTTACAAGTATCTAACACCTCTTACAGAATCCGTAGTGCATCTTGTTATCTATCGAGTGAAATCAATTTTGAATCCCTGAACAACTTCGGTGTATAGGGGAAATTCGGCTTCTGTTTCAAGAATCCGTTTATTGAATATTGACAGTTTTCTGGATACGCCGTATTCTCAGAAATAAAATATGCTGTTGATGGAAAAAATTACGGAAGTAAAACTTTCTATGGAGATACACACTCTGCATATTATTTTGCATGCTAAATATTTTGAATGAAATTCTCAATGAGCTATCTGCCGAAATGTAATCAACGAAAATACAAACTATTAACTTTCGGGAGTAAACGATTGATGAATCACGAGGAACATTGAATTCGCCATTGAATGGAGATACCACACTGCGTTGTTTCATCCAATTAGGAAATCATCAAGGGCATGCATCCAAACAATCGAGTTTCGATGTTCTTTTCAAACACATCAAGCCCCATATATTCAAAAGTCGGTGTAAAGCCAGTGACATAATCACGTGAGCTCCCTCTGTCGCAAAAACAATTAAAGCTCTCTCGAGTAAGGTAAGGTTCGTTCATGACAAGATCAAGTGCGTACTTTCATAGAAAGATTGCACGCTTTGTCTCGGAGATTGTAGTTGATTGTAAAGGGTGTTTTTTAGAGGTATAGAACTTTAAATTGCAATAAAACAACGATGTATCATTCGATTGACAAGAATGAATTTTTTTTTATTCGAAAGATAATCTTGTGGCATAACATTTTAGATATGATTTTTGGCATATGATCGCCACGCCTGGTTCGGATGTAGTCCAATATTCGATGAATTTTTCCAACATTTGTGTCCGTATATCGGCAATCACACGGCGAATATTGTTTTCCAAATTGTCAAGCGTTTGTGGCTTATCCGCATATACCAATGACTTCACATAGCCCCACAGAAAATAGTCTAGCGGTGTTATATCACAAGATCTTGGAGGCCAATTCACAGGTCCAAAACGTGAAATTAGGCGGTCACCAAACGTGTGTTTCAATAAATCGATTGTGGCACGAGATGTGTGTCATGTTGAGCCGTCTTGTTGAAACCGCAGCTCGTGGACATCATGGTTGTTCAAATCAGGAATGAAAAAGTTAGTAATCGTGACTCTATACCGATCACCATTGACTGTAACGTTCTGGTCATCATCGTTTTTGAAGATGTATGGACCAATGATTCCACCAGCCATAAATCGCACCAAACAGTCAGTTTTTCTGGATGTATCGGTGTTTTGACATACACTTGAGGATTATCTTCACTCCAAATGCGGCAGTTTTGTTTGTTGACGTAGCCATTCAACCAGAAGTGCGCTTCATCGCTAAAAAATAAAATGGACGTAGTGCGCGATACGTATTCCGCACAGAACCATTATTTTCGAAATAAAATTGCACTATTTGCAAGCGTTGTTCAGGCGTTAGTCTATTTATGATGAATTGCCAAACCAACCTGAGAATAAATCACTTCTCTGCTGTTAAATCGGTCACCATCTTCAACAGTAATGCCCACTTAAAGTTCTATATCTCTAAGAAAAACACCATTTACTAGAGATATAATGGATATCTAGGACTGACATTGGATTGCCATTTGTGGTGGGATGAGCAAGTTGGTGATATTGCGAACTCTACGACTGTCGTTGTTCAGGTTCAGATTTTGTAGGGGAATCTTGGACATATTTCATATCCGTGTTGTCAACTATGCTCTTGTACAGAGTAGATTACAGTATTGCATCCTTGCATAGGGTGCCATAGCAAGTAACCATCAAATAAATGAATAAAATATAGTCAACATATATATATATATATATATATATATATATATATATATATATATATATATATATATATATATTCTTGAAGTTGTGCAGAAAAGAATTTTGAAAGTTATTTATAATAAAAACCTGCAATACTCTTCAAACTTGTTATTCAGAGAGAGTGGAATACTAGATATCAGACAACTTGATATGTACAGTTGTTTGATGTATGTATACTTACCATCATAAAGAAAGACTTCAGGATTTCGAGCGCACTCATATTACACGTAGCAGGGTTGCACCAGCTTCATTAACTCCATTTTTGAAAAAAGCGACTACACAAAGACATTTCAATTACCTTAACGTGAAATTTTACAATTCATTGCCAGAAAGTCATAAATTGTTCCTAAGGAATATGAATTCGATAAGCCTTATTAAAAAGAAATTTGTGTTTTATTTGAGCTCTATTGATAGAATGGCGTTTTATGATTTTTTTATTCTATTAAAAGGAAATAATTGTTTTGTTTTGTTAGTTTCTTTCTGAAAATTTTATGAATAATTTATAAATTGTTTACTTATTGAACCAGGGACCAGCTTATACGCTATATATATTTTTCTCAGAAAGAAATTATCGGGTTTTCTGGTTCTCAAAATTATTTATCAAAAATCTTCAGCACATTACGTTTCGGTCCATTGTTTTGGGCCTTTTTCAAATTAGGTTTTATCAATATATTGTCATCAACACGCAAACAAAAACAATACTTATTACTATAAGACATTACAGACGACGTTGAACTGGCAACACTTGGCAGTTTCGGAACACTCAAACAGAAAATATTGCCCTAAATTTCAGAATAATGGATTATATGTGCGTTAGGTCTACTGGAGAGACCACGTTTGAAAAACTCGCTGCTTACTTTACCTCAAGGTGGCTTGAAACGAGTAGGGCAGAGGCACCCCTTATTTCCTCATTGACTCCCTTTCAAAATATGTTCACGTTGAATCCGTTTGTACCTTGGCAAAGAATTTCCTATATTCAGATACGACTTCTCTGTCAGTTTTACCCACACGAAAACCTGATTTGAATCTTAGGACATGTAGGACAGAGGAACCACTTATGACCTCTTTGAGGTTTTTTCAGTCCAATATAAAAAAGCAAGATTTTCAGAAGACATTTGTGCTGAATGTCATTTATATTTGCATTAAAGATAAACACTTTCAGAAAATCTAGTGTTAATACAGATTTCATGTCAAATGATATTATTACAGAACTTTTTTGTCACGAATTTACGTAATGAAATGTTGATACTTATTTTTGTTATTTATCGAAATAATAATAATAAGCATATATTTCTAACATAACCTGCCCAAATTACAGGAAAACACATAATGAATAAATATGGTTATTTAAAATATTAATAACAACATACATATACAATATCAAGAAATAATTATAATAGTAAAAAAATTATCAAATATAATAATCTAAATCTATAATGTCAATATCCAAATGTTCAATCATAATAATAATCAAGAAAACAAATCACTCAGAACTCAATTCGGAAGAAATCAATATACCTCACTGTAAAGATTCAAATACACATTTATGATAGAAACAAGTGAGTCCCAGTGCAAATCACAGCAGCTTGACACCTGGTTTGCAGTAGAACATGCAAAGCTAAGCGGCGATTGCGGGAGAAGATTGGTTCTTTGGGTTTCTGAGTAAAATGTCTGGCTTATTCTAGTACACCTCGGAAGAACGAAGAAATTAAATTTACCTAGAAGCTCAGGACAGTTGAGATTATCATTGAGAAAATTGAATGAAAATGTTAATGCACTCAAAGTTCTCCTGGTGTGGAGGCTCCAAGTGTCAAACCTCGACAGCAAACAAGCGTGATCATGACCCCTAGGTGGATATACACCATCCTCTCGAAATGAGAGCCAATTGAAGAACTTCTTCTGCAGTGCCTCCAGGCGGTTTATGTGACCAATTATACATTGATCGTCGAACAAGGAGCCATACTCAAGTTTGCTTCTCACTAGAGCATTAAATAAATGCACCAGTGTTGAGGAACTCGAAAACAATATAACATTGCGGAAGATGAGACCATAAATTTTGCTACATGATAAAATTAATTGGTTGATATGATGTATGAATGAGAATTTTGGATCAAATACTAGGTCAAGATCCTTAACCTCCAGAAGTCGAGTCAGATTAACACTTTCAATGTTGTAATTAAAAAATATCAGATTTCTATTTCTAGCAAAACTCACCACATTACATTTCATGACATTCAAGTGTAAATAATGGTAAATGATAAAGCCTGTGTTACACCACAGGCTGATATCATTAAGGTCACTTTGTAGCTTCAAACAATCATGCATAGATGGCACGATATGAATTTTGATATCGTCTGCATAAGCCACCTTCATGCATTCCAACATCTCTAAGAGAACGTTAACAAACAGGACAAATAGTAGGGGTCCAAGATTGGATCCCTGCGGCACTCCCGAAGTTACTAGAAAGTCTAACTGAAATAAAGACTTGATACTCATTATTTCATCAATTAGAGTGGGGTGGCCATAGGTGGGGTAATCTCTGTCCTAACTCAGCGAAAACGCCTACTGAACAACAAATGTAGGAAATGGCCTCTAATTTAATTTTGTGAATGAATTTTTCTAAACAATTTTCGTACAATCGTACAATTTGTTACCCAACAATTATCATCATTAAACTACATAAATGATAGAACAACACATACACACATGCCTTCACCATGGCTCGAACCCGAGTCTTACCGCACCATAGTCGCATGTTTTCCCGACTAAGCCACGGAGGCAGCTACTCAAAAAGTCGACATTGTGGAAAAACTGCTCGCTCCCCTTTTTTTACAATATGACAGTCCGAGGGACAAAGAGATAAGAAGTAGCAAATTCGAAAAGAGCACATCAAAATCTATAATATAACTAAATTTCAATATTCCCGAAAAACTTTTCAAGTAAAACTACCAAATGACTGTACTATAGTTGCAAATATTATTCCATTAACATAGAGTCATAAATTCACAGGGATTTTGCAGCAATGTATCATGTATTCGTAGACAATAGTTTCACTGAATATTCGACAGAGTCAAACTGCACATTTTATGGACAAAAAATGAGGTTGATCACATTCCATTTTGTTATCCACTATTGACCGCTACGCCATCTGGTGCAATTTGAACGTCGACTACGAGGATTATTTATCACTTCGACGACCGCGCTGTAGATATATTCGTTATTTGCCTGATAACTACTGCTGTGTAATAGTTAATGGCTGGGCATTTCATATCAATTTCGTGAACGTATTTCCATCAGTATTTCATGTGAGATTTACAAGTCAAAATGGACCATAAAAATATTCTCATTGCGTTATTCTTCTTTGTGCAACTTTATGGAATACTGGTGAAAAACTTCCAATTTATCATCTGAATCAGGGGTCGTCAACCCGTCGATCGCAGGCTACTGGTAGCTCGCTAAGGGAATTCGGTAGTTCACAACGTATTACGAGTTTAAAATGCAAGATACAAACTAGTTAATGTTAGTAGAGATAGCATAGATGTTTGTTTATTATTGGCATTTCTCCGATATAATCGCATTATTTCAATTCGGTTGGCGTCTCTTATTATCCTTATTATTTATAAGAGCTGGCACCAATTATTAGTAAGTTATTTGAGGCAAGCTGAAAACTTGTCACATACCTCTCCTGATATACCCCAATACGGAATTGCAAATTTGGCTGGTGAGTAGCGGGGCTAAATCAACCCAAAAATTCTAAAAAATATTATTTTTCCCCAAAAATATCTTTGAGGCAAAAAGCAATCTCTATGTGTTGCAGTGTATACGAAAACTAATGAATACGAAAAAAAAATAAGCCAGACGATTTAATCGGGGTTTTAACATTGCCAGACACGTGTAAAGATATGTTGCAAAAATTGTGAAAATTATATTATTTAGTATTTGAGTATTATTTATAACTACAAGATAAGATTCCCAAAAACACCTAGAACCCCTAAAAATTTAGGGGTTGATTTAGCCCCGCTTACTTTACTTACTTAACAAATCTATTTACAAAATATTTACAATACATATATAATACATGAGTTATGCAAAAATTTAACATTATATAACTTAAACTAATTACACAATTCATTTTTCATTACAATCTTAAAGTTTGTACAGTTCCTACTTATTAGTTTTACTGTACATTCACTTCTTTTTTGACAAATATCATCTTGCTATAGATATGAGGGATCATATATGTATAGATGATCGCTTTGCCTCTAGGTAATTATTTTTTTATGTTTTATTTGTACATTGTCATTATATTTACGTACCTATTTTCATTCTACAATACAGGAAACTATTTGTGAAAGCCTGCTTTTGATAATTATTTCGTCTGACGAATTGTTGGCTTCTGTATTCGATTATAATCATATTTAGCAGAGATCACCAAAGGAATACTTTTCTACGAGATTTAAATACCAGGTATGTGGTAGTGCGTTTTTGGTTCATATTCAACATACCCAACAGCCAGATCTGCAATTCCGTATAGTATTGAGGTATATCAGGAGAGGTATGTGATGAGTTTTCAGCTTGCCTCAAATACCTACCCAGAAATTGATGCCAGCTCTCCTACGATAGTATTAGGTAACTCACCTAGTAGAGGAGAGTCACAACCTCACCAAACAAGAGGTTGGTGACTACTTATATGAATATCTATCCCTCAATGATTTCGTGGAATTATTCTGCTTTAATTATTTCGTGGAGTTATAACATACTGAATTGCCGCACTGGAAAGGCTGATTGATACGATATAGCCAATAAAATCTTACAATTTATCCTATCGAATATGACAGAATCGATGCGTAAGTGTTTTGTGAATCGATATCAGATAAAACAAAATCCATAATAATGATAATACTTATTTAGCGAAAGGTATACATTAAATTACATATTTTAGAAACCATTGAAAAAATTACATTTTTGAAAGTAATCAAAATTTGTTGTCAAGCAAAACAAATGTTATGAGTTGTGAAGTAGTTGTTTATTTATACCTGTATATCTCTAAATTTATGAATTCTTATAAGAAATATTAAGTCTGCTAATTTCAATAATCAATGTAAAAGCAGTATCATCATGTCAAGCATGTTGGAGACAAATTATATACATACTTCGAAGACTGTTACAAAGAACTCTGGTCATTATTGTTCGTACAAAAAAATATTCAGGAGGTTCAAAAAAATCTTGTGCATTGGCTTCCGAGTCTTGATTCGTCCATCGTTGACTTGGTGATGGATACAAGTTCTTATTTACCAGCCTAATTATGTGAATATTATATATTATTAATATATTACATATTCTCTGATACATTTCTTTTCTTTGATTAAGAATTCACGTCTTTCGTACGAACACTTTCGTGTGCTTCTGAAAGACAATCGGCTGTCATTTTGTGTACCCTAAATCATATCAAGATATTTATGTAAAGGGTGTTTTTTTTAGAGGTATAGAACTTTAAGTTGGCATTACTGTTGAAGATGGCGACCGATTTAACAGCTGCGAAGTGATTTATTTCCAGTTCGGTGTGGCAATTCATCATGAATAGACTCACGTCTATTCGTATATCACGAGATTCTTCGAATTGGCCCAAAACGAGATTGCCATTGTTCCCGATTTTCATAAAGGAATTTTGTTCATCGATGAAGCGCACTTCTGGTTGAATGGCTACGTCAACAAACAAAACTGCCGCATTTGGAGTGAAGATAATCCTCAAGTGTATGAAAAAACTACTTAATAATTGATGAGGCCGATACTTGATGTAAATCGATAAACATAATAAAACAATTGTTAAACTGATTCACACATATATTAAAAATAATACTGCATGACGTACATTTCCATGAGGTTCACCTTTTTCAAATGCTACGTGCAGACTAATGACAATTTCTCGAATACATACAATATCCATATTGTATGTATTCACGCATACATACAATAATAACAACAACTTACAACTACATACAATATCCATATTGTATGTATTCGAGAAATTGTCATTAGTCTGCACTTAGAATTTGAAAAAGGTGAATTTCATCGAAACGTACGTCATGCAGTATAATTTTTAATATAGGTATGTGTAAATCAGTTTAACAATTGTTTTATTATGAAAAAACTACTTTCTGTGGGGCTATGTAAAGTCATTGGTCTATGCGGATAAGCCACAAACGCTTGACCATTTGGAAGATAATATTCCCGTGTTATTGCCCATATACGGCCACAAATGTTGGAAAAAGTAATCGAAAATTGGACGTCCAGATTGGACTACATCCGAGCCAGCCGTGGCGGTCATATACCAGAAATCATATTTGAAATGTAACGCCACAAGATTATCTTTTCGAATAAAAAAAAATTCTTGTCAATCGAATGATCCATCGTTGTTTTATTACAATTTAAAGTTCTATACCTTTAAAAAAACACCCTTTATAAGAAATGATTGTTGTGTAAAATAGAATAATAGTTATTTTGATGTTAACTGTAAACGATTGAGTGAATAAATTATTAATTATTATTATCGGAAACATCAACAACAATGTTGAGATTGTATTGAGATTGAAGACCTCCCTGATATTCTAATCTCTTAATTTTTTTTTCTCAAACAATATTGCTTGATATTAATACAACGTATCACTTGAATGAATTTATTTTTCTCAACTCAGTTATGCTGAGAAAAACCTAATTTTAATTTACTTCATCTATCAATATGAATGTTCAACCAAATATGTTGAAGGTAGTATGAAGATGCTCTCAATAAAACTACGTAATTCAACACCACGAAAGAACAAAGAGCTGTTTTGGATTTATTCGACATCGTTAGTCCCATACACACAACTGAAGTGATTTGTCAACATCCTTTGTTCTTTATTCGAGGATGAACGTTTCTGGTTGTTTATATCTGTGAAAATTCAATTTAAGGTACAAGTAAAAATGTTTTCAAGCGGTTATTCAATTTTTCACTTGAGTATCTCGTAGACAGTGCAAACTACCTGTAACCCTAACAAAAGAATAATAAATGATAAAAAAAGACTTATATTTTCAAATCAAGTTCATAATGCATTTAATGTAAAGAAACATTTTGGACTGCAATGAATAAATCTGGAAGTAGCTCATTTTGTGAGATAGAAAACTATCTCTTTCTAAAAATTCAAATTATTGGGACAAATTTGGTGTATAGATTATATAAAGGAAACTTTATTTGGCCTTTGAATAAATAATTGATGGAATAGTTCGATCAAGTCCAAAATCTTCCAAATTTTCAAAAAATGACGTTCGCTTGTCGCTTTGGGGTGAAAACTAAGATTACAAGATGAAATCATTAACTTGGCTGTAACATTTTTATTGTAAATCTCCTGGAATATCGATCTGACCAAAACGCTGAAAAAAGTCCGGAATCGACCAAACCTACTGTATGCACTTCGAGGTAGAATACGAGAGTGCGATCCCCGTACTCTCCTCAGCACATACAAGGCATTCATTCGCCCTGTTATTGCGTATAGATGGTTGCTCCACTCCACTCTCTCGAAATGTCTAGAGAAGACGAGAAGACGGCAATCTGCCGCAGCATCTTCAGACTTCACAGACAATTTCCGTCTATTCTTGTCCATGAAATAACCAAAATGCCCCCAATTATTACCCACAACGAAAAGCTCCAAGCTCCAGACACGGACGTGTCCTTCGCAAAAAACCAAAAATCAAACTCTCAAAATTCCCACCAGCACAGATCCTGCAAGCACTTTAGGAGTAC